TGCCTGGGACATTTCCTTGAAAGTATCTCTTGCTGCCTGAACCTGGACAGCGTGAGAACAGCAGTAAATGTCTGGGTGGCTTCTCAGGACACAGAGGGGAGGCAGAAGATCGAGGGGTTGAGGAGTAAACGAAAAGGAGAGAGCCTATGTCATCCGACGGCTCCTTCATGGCATTGAGCCCTGCCATTCAACCCCCGAAGGTCTCACATTATATGGCTGACATTTACACCACACTTCCTACACATAACTCATTCAGCAGCCTTATGAGGAGTCAGAGCTGTTATTCCCGCTTTACAGAAGGAGAAACTGAGGTTCTGAGAGGTTAAGTAACCCACCTGAAGCCACACGGCTAGTAGGTGAAGGAGCCAGGATTCAAAGCCAGGTAGCCTGGCTCCAGGATCCCCCTGTTTCCCCTTCAGTCCCTGGAACAGCCCCTCCCATCACTTCTTACCTGCCCTTCACAGTGGTCCCCAGCCGGCACCTCTGTCCCATCTCCTGCACGACCACCATCTTCACTGCAGCCTGAATTCTCCTTCTGAAACGCAGCTAGAGCTGGCACCCTCTCCCAGCACATGCATGCCTCCACACCTTTGCTCAGGCTGTGTCCTCTGTCACTGGGCTAAGAGCCCCCGGGGTTTCGACAGACAAGGTCACAGAGGCAGGGACAGACCCCAGGGGCGTGGGCACTTATTCCAGAGCTGTTCTTACAAACTTCGCTTGTGATTTTCAGTCTGTGTTTGGAAAGTATTTCTTGCAACGAGAAATACGTTGATTATAGTCAAAATTCCGTAGACCTGAGACGAATATGGAAACCCATCGAAGGCTTTCTGTGATGCTAGTGCCTGGGGTCAGGGTGGTATCATGACCCCAGCTACCATGTGCCAGGCCCTTCCATCATGATTTCTAATCTTCACAGAAACCATGCAAGGTAAACGTTATCATCGTGCCCATTTTAGAGATGAGTAAACTGAGGCTTCAAGAGGTGAAAACACCTTTCCGAGGTCACACAAATTAAAGGTGGCAAAGCCAGGAGATCTGACTCTAGGCCCATCTGCCTCACTAGCTCACACTGCCTCCGAGGGCCGCGGAGTTGGCCTCGCTGGGCACAGCTGCTAGGTCCGTGGAGCTCATGCAGCTTCCACAGGGCTTGGGAAAGGTCCTGAACAGGTGCGGGGGTCTAGGAGGCTCTAAACACAGAAGACGGTGGGCGTTTCAAAGCCACCAGCCCTGGGCTTCTCCTCTTCCTCCAGTGTCTCCTTCTCAATGCAGACCCTCAGGGTGACCTTGGGGAGCATAGAGAAATCTGAGTGTCTCTGGGCCTCAGTTTACCACCTGTAAAGGGAGAAAATTAACATCCACCCTTCTGGGTTGTGGCGAGGATTGGATTATAAAACGCAGGCCATGAGGCCTGGAGATAGTGGCTGTAAAGCCCCGGCAGGCGGCCGACCCACCTGGCTGCACCCGAAGCCACAAGGGGCAGAGAGAGAGCCAAGGTGACAGTCCTCCCTGCCCTGCGGCCGTCCGTCCAGTGTCATCGCCTTTTCGGGCCTCAAGTAAGAAACCTGGGCGTCCCTCTATTCGGCCCAGCGAGTCTGTTCATTCTGGGATGACTCCATCCACTTCTGTGGCTTTTCCACCTAAGGAAGTAGCCATAGCGGATGCACCACCGTGGTGGAATGTTTTAGTTACTCTGCCCTGTGCATCATTTCACGGTTTCCTCGGATTCCAGTCAAATTCACGGTCATGCAACAAACTTGTCTCAGTGTCTTTGATAGCCGTAGTTCTCACACTCGAGTGTGCCTCAGAACCGCCTGGAGGATGTGTTTAAACACAGACCGCTGGGCCCCACGCCTCCAGTTTCCAATTCAGCAGGTCTGGGTGGGACCCGAGACTCTGCATCTCTAGCAAATTCCCAGGCGATTTTGGCGCTGCTGTTCTGAGCACCATACTTAGGGAACTGATGCAATGTAAATAACATCGGGCTGGGCCGCACGTGGACCGGGACCTGCCATTATCAGCCCTGTGACTTGGACACTGGGTCCCTGTGAGCCTCAGTTTTCCTCATCTGTAAAACAGGAATAACAATACCCCACCCACAGGATGATTGTGAAAATGAAGGCACGTCCTGCAGGTTTCGGCTTAATGAAAGTCGAGACGACCTGGGCACCCCCGTCAGGGCAGAAGGTGCCCAGCCCGAAATGTCATGGAGGCACCAAAATTCTAAATGCTCGATGCCTGGACAGAGAAGGAGGAGAAAAATGTGGCTACTGGTTGAGCTAATGTCTAATTTTTTTTTTTTTTAGGCGAGGCAACCTTTGGTTGACCTCACAGATTGCAAGGACCTTATCAGCTTACAATCCCTTATTTTTTAAATTTATTTTTGTATGTCTACAGCACCTGGTCTTCCTAAGTGATCTCCCATCCAAGTACTAGCCAGGCCCAACCCTGCTTAACTTCCGAGATCAGACAGGATCGGGCTTGTTCAGGGTGGCATGGCCGTAGACGGAGCAAATGTCTTGACTAGACTCCCCAGTGACGTTTTCTGCTTAAGATATGAAAAAACATTTTGATATTTTTTTGCCTTTTGCTATTCATACGTACATGATAAGTCAGAAATCGGCACAGCTTTTTCTTTAATCTATAAGAACCTGTCGCTTACTTTTTTTCTTATTTCTCATGAGGAAGCCGATTTTAGTTCCAGTGTTTCCTGATTATCTGCCACCTTTCTGGGACCCAGCCATCCCATCACTTGAGAGAGCAGGGTCTCGGCTCGGGCAGAATGAGGGAACTTCCGTGAAGGAAGTACAGAAAGGGAAGGTGTGTCAGTTTCCTGTTGCTACTATAAGAAATTACTACATACAGAATTGCTTAAAATAACACAAGCGCTATATCTCAATAACACTGGGGAGTAAATAATGCGAATGAATCATCTTACCATTCTGGAGATCGAAATTTCAAAAATGGGTCTCACGGGGCTAAAATGCATGGAACTAAAATGCAGGTGACAGCAGGACGGCGTTCCTCTCTGGAGGGTTCAGACAGAATCCATTCCTTGTCTTTTGCAGTTCCTAGAGGCCGCCTGCATTTCTTGGCTCATGGCCCCTTCCAGCAATTGCATCACTCTGGCCTCTGCTTCCATCATCCATTTATTCTCACTCTGACCTTCCTGCCTCCCCCTTATTAAAGCCCTTGTGGTTACATTGGACCCATCTGGATAATTCAGGATCATCTCCCCACCTCAAGATCCTTAACTTAACCATATTTGCAAATCTCTCTTTCCGTGCGAGGTCACGTATGCATAGGTTTTGGGGATTAGTTTGTAGTTATTTTCAGGGGACCATTATTATGCCTAAGAAGAAAGAGAAGGAATCTCATTTTGAGGAAGAAGTCCCTCTTGGCCGGGGTGATGGGGAAAGGACTCAGTGGGGGAGGTCCCACTGAGATGGTTCATTGGGGCTGAGTTGGATTAGTGACTTCTTAGATTGTGATCAAAGAATACGCCGCCAATAGTATGGTTGACCTATCCTTTACCATTGGTTGAAACTTGTTTTATGGTCAATTACATGGTTGCCTTTTTTTAGTGCTCAACGTGCACTTTGCTTGGGAAAATGCATATTCATTAGTTGCGGGGTACAGAATTTTATGTATGTCCAGTAAATCAAGCATGTTGTTACTAATTTTCTGTCTGCTTAATTGAGAAAGAAGAATTGAAATCTTCAACCATGATGGTGCATTTGTTAACTTTTCCCTATATTTCTATCAAAGTTTTACTTTATGTGTGTCGAAGCTATGCGATTAGGTCCATACAAATTTAGAGTATCTTCAAGGCGAGTTGAACTAAGCTTATACTGTTAGGTTGTGCTCCTCTCTGTTGCTAATAGAGTGGGTTTTTTTTTGTCTGATATTAATGTGCCAACCTCAGCTCTCTTTTAGTTAGTACTGGCTTAATGCATTTTTTAAAAATCTTTTCTGGATCTCTATATTTTAGATGTGTTGCTTATAAATAGCATATAGCTGAATTTTGTTTATTTCTCTAATCCAAAATTATCTTTTAAGTAGTAACATTAATCCATTCACATTTATTTCGTTTATATATTTGGATTTATTTTTACCATCTCATTTTTTATTTTTATTTGTTCGATTTTTGTTCTACGTTGTCTTTTGCTCTTTCACTGCCTTTTGAATGGACTTTTTCTGTTCTTTTTATTTAAAACTCCATTTCTATTATTCTTGTAAACACGTTTCAATTTTATCTATTAAACCTAGAATTAAACATTATATTAATTCCCTCTTCAAACAAGTATCTCAGGAGACTTCGACTCTCGTTGCTCTTCCAAATTTACATTCTGCTTTTTTATTCAATCCCACAGTTTTAATAATTTTAAATCTCTTTTATACAGACAAAATTTGTTTAGCTATACCAGAATATTTACCATTTTATTTGCTCACCATTCTTTCTTGCATCTCAGACCATGCTTCTGGCCTCAGATATCTTCTTCTTAAAGTATATCTCCAGAAATTGCTTTGGTGAAAGTGTGCTGGTCATAAAATGTTAATTTTTATTCATCTGAAAATGTCTCTATTAAAATACATTTTTGTCAGGTACACAATTCTAAGCTAATAGTTATTTTTTCATTATATTTTGAAGACATGATTCAACTGTCTTCTGGATTTCATTGTTGCTATTGAGAAGTTTGCTTCCAGGCTGATCGTTACTCTTTCATAGGTGATCTGACTTTTCTTTCTGGATACCTTTAAGATCTTCTCTTTGTCTTTGGTGTTCTTCATTTTAACCACTGTGGTGTGTGTGTATGTGTGTGTGTGTGTGTGCACACACGCACGTGCACTTGCCATGCGGAGAAGGGAGTCTTTGGAGATTTTTCTCACTTCTCATGATCTCAGCAATGCTTTTACAATAATATTTTAACCATGATCGAGTTGTTTTGTAAGATGAACACTCTCCAAAGAACTGGACTGCCATAATTTCAGAATCAGAAGTCTGTGTGATTCTTCGTATAAACACAACCCTGTGTGTGTGTGTGTGTGTGTGGAATGTAAACCTCTGGGTGTGCACACTGCTCTATGCATACATCCACGTGTGTGTGTCTTTGGTGTGCATGTCTCTGCAATTTTCCTAGTTCCAGTGTAAGCCGTCCAGGGCAGAGGACTTCCTGTTTCTCATGACCTCCTGACAACCTCCCACGGCCAGGGGTAGACTGGCTGCTATCCGGTGTTGACACATTTGCTGGGGAGAGCGGTAGTGGGCCGGCCCTGTCTCACTGTATGTCTCTCTCTCCTCTCCATCTGTGTCTTCCACAGCTCTGCCCCGCAGGGCTGCACATCCTTTGGTATCAATGCCTCCCCAGGAGTGGTTGTGGATGTTGCCCACAGACCTCCAACCAAGAAGAATCCCTCAGGTTTCTCCAAGTGGCCCCTGGACCCTGGGCTGGAGGTGAGCCTGAGGATGAGAGCTGCCAGCAGTAGCACAAATGACCAGAAGGTAAGTACAGCAGCTGTGGCATGGGAGGAAGACAGCAGGTCTCGGCAGGTCAGCCATCAAAGTCTGACCTGCACTGACTCACAGCCCCAACCCTGTCAGAGCCTTCTCTCTGGAAAAGCTCATGATGGCTCAGTCCAGACACAGTATCCTCATAGACAATATAGAGACCCCAGGGGTTTATGCAGGCCAGGGCTTTGATTAAATTCATTCATTCAGCAAATGTTTAATAATCACCTACTACATGCCAAGCACTGCAGGCAGTAGAGGTACAGAAATGAACAAGACAGGTAAGGTCACAGCCTTTATGGCACTTACAGCCTATGGGCGTCAGATACTATACAGGTAGACAATTACAGAGGGCGATGAGTGCTGTGAAGGCCACAGCCAGGCAGCCCTGGGAAACTGGTCCATGCCGGTGTATTTAGTTTCCCACGACTGCTGAAACAAATGATCACACACTATTGCCTTAAGATGACAGAAGTGTATTCTCTCGCAGTTCCGGAGGACAGAAGTCTGAAATTGAGGTATTGGCAGGGCCACGCTCCCTCCGGAGGATCTCAGGGAGAAATAGTTCTGCTCTTCCAGCTTCTGGGGGCTGTAGGCATTCTTAGACTTATGGCCTCATCACTCTAATCTCTGCCTCCGTGGTCACATTGCCGCTTCCTCTCAAATCTCTCTCTGCCTCACCCTGGTCATTAGATTTAAGGCCTGCCTGGATAATCCAGGAAAATCTCATCTCAAAATCCTTAACTAATTACATCTGCAAAGACCTCCCCCGCCCCCTGCCCCAATAAAGTCATATTTACAAGTTTCAGGGATCAGGATGTGGACATACCTTTTGGGGCACTGCCATTCACCACTGCAGCCCCTTTGACTGCCGATAGAATCAACAGGACCCCTTGGGGTTTGCATGGAGATGTGGGCCAATGACCAATTGTTCCCAGCAGAACAGGCCAAGCAGGCTCCTCCGTGAGACAGAGAGTTGTTGCCTTGTGGAGGAGCACAGAGCCTCGGTATCAGAGCAAGTTGGGGAGGGTACATCAGGGAACACTTCCTGGGAGAAGTGGCAAGCTGAAGGATAGTAAAGACGACCCACCAGGAGCGGGAAAGAGGAATGTAGGGGATGTGGCCTGCGCACACACTCGGGGTGAGGAGAGGGTGAGACTTGCGTTGGGGAAACTGGAGAAGATCTTTGCGGCAAGGAAAGAGGGTGAACAGAGAGTTGGGGGAGAGTGGGAGCCAGTATTAAGGAGTCTGGCATTAGGGACCTCATTTTGTGAAGGCAACAGGAAGCCAAAACCTTTCCTCCAAGGAGTAACAGGACTGCATCCGTGTGTGAGCCAGATCCCGCTGGATTGGATCCAGGCAGTGGACTGGAGGCAAATGCCGTGGGCCAGACACCACGAGACAGTGGCTGTGCCATTTCCCTGGATCCCCACTATCTACATAATCGATTCGGACACCTTGGTGGGAACCCTGAGGAGCTCCTTTTCTTCCGGTGGCAGCTCTTTGGTTTTGCTTTGGGGAACTCGCTTCCTCCATTTTGCTTGGAAGTGTCAATCCTGATGCTCCACCCTCCTCTGGCCGGAATGGGTCAATAAAATGCATTCTTCCCAGATTTTGAACTCTGGGCAATGGGGGTTGGTGCTTCTTAATCTCGACAGCCCCTGCCCTGAAGAGAGGACCATCTATCCAAAGCTCCTGCTCTCCAGATCCTCAGAGGGCTTGGGCTCCAGCCTTCCCAAGGTCTGGTTCTTCAGGTCTCCCCCATCCCGTCTGCTTGCCAGCGCCCGTTTCTGTGGCTTATAATCAGTGCTCCCCCTCTAATACCTCTTCCACCATGTCTCCGGCTGTTCCTCTTACAAGATCTACTTCATGTGTACCTCCCTGACACGCCCAGGCGGAGTAAGCTCTTCATTTCCGGGCTCCCATATGACCCTCTTCTATGCATCGCAATCATTTGAGTGTTTTGCTATCCCTTTGTTCCCACAAGTCAGGGTGCTCTTTAGAGACAGAGACCACTTCTTGCTCATACATGTCTCCTTAGCATCCTGTCCTGAGCTGGCATATAGCAGGAGTCCAGTTAGTGTTTGTTGAATGACTAAGAGAAGTCATTAGTGGTTTGCTGTTGTCCTATAGGTTCAGATTTCGTACTACGGACCCAAGACTGACCTGGTCCAAGCCCTGCTCTACCTCACTGGGGTGGGTAAGTGATGACCAGGATCCTGGAGCGGCACCCTCTCCTCCTCCAACACACACACAGCCCTGCAAGGCCTCTCTCCAGGAGAGACCATACTCTGGAGCTTAATTTAGACTGTACAGAGAAAAGGGACGATGTCTAGCCAGTCACACATATGGTAGTTCATAAATGTTCTCTCCCCCGTCAGTGAAACACAAAGAAATACAACTGGAGAGAGAGGGCGTTTGCAGGGAGCTTCGATCTCATCTTAATATTTTGTTTCTCAGCTTAGTAAGTAGTACATGGATTTTCAATATGTGAATCTTTATACCTTTTTAATACTTCAACTCCTTATAAGAAAAAGTATAATATAGACCAATGTTCCCCAAATTCCATTATTTACATCTCATCTTGACCGTTTTTGCCATTTCAGTGATCTACCCAGATTTATATTTATTTAATATTCTTTAAATACATTTTTAAACTTGACCTCATCTGGAACAATAGCATGATATTATTCTTATGTAAATATGCATTAAAAATATGAATAGCATGTGAAACCTTCGGGTTTTATTTCATTAATGAATTGCGTTCATTACTATACATTTATTTCATCAATACACATTTTTATAATAAATAAATGATACTACTATAGCACTAACTCCACACCAGGCACTGTGTGAAGACATTCCAGTTAAGCCTTCCAACAATCCAATGAAATTGGTACTATCAATATCCCATTTTACAGACGAAGAGACTGAGACACAGGAGGTAAACAGACTTGCCCAAGGTCACACAGCTGGTTAGTGAAGAAGCAGAGATGTCCTGTCCGCTCAGCTCTATGCTCTCTGGTCCAACACTAATCCCTGGATGTGGACGTGCTTAAAGTCATCCAGGTCAATCTCACACTGTGAGCTCACAAGGTCGCTTTACCACACTGTGGGCACAAGGATCTGTCACTGGAATGACAAGATAGTCATGAGTTCTGATGAGAGAAGAAGGAATTACAGACATACGCTCTCTCAGCCATGCCATTCGGACAGAGTGGGATCTATCCAGGGCCTCGAATTGTCTCCAGTGCAGTTGCAATATACATAATGAAGAGCCAGGTGGGGTTAGAGCAACCACTGTGTCCTCCACCCTATGGTCACTAGGGGCTGGAGTTGGGACCAGAGGCCTTTGTGAGCCTGGCAAGCTGTCTTATAGGGGCTTCACACCAAACATCCCATTGGGGTGCCTAGAAATTCTTTCTGCAACCCTCGAGGGTGGCCAGACATGCAGGATCTGGTTGGCATCACAGCCGTGGTGCATCCTACCTCCCAATGGGGAATAAGTGTGGTCCGAAGCCCCGGCTCTGCTGTCTGAATTTCAGACTTCTTCTTGGGGGACACAGGGGTGTCTTTGAACCTGCATCTCCTCTGAAGGGGAGGGAGAAAAGCCTGGGTGTAGATAGTCTCCTAGGAAAAGGATTATCCACTGGGACCAGGTTGAATGCCCCTAACTTGTACCCTTACCGACCTTCTTCTCTTACTCGGTGGGATTTCAGAAATCTCCTTGAGCACGGACATCACGCGTACTTCCAAAGCGAAGGCGACCAAAGCCAGGAAGGACCAGGTACTGCTCAAAATTGACTGATTCCCGAAACGCTCCCTGTTAACTCCGCTGGTTTCTCCTCTGGCGCCCCCTGGTGGTGGTGGGACGAATAGCGGTCTGTCTCACCTATCCCATGTTAACTTAAGATACAATTTGGGAAGAAAGAGAAAAAGGAAATGAAAATCACCATTACCATTTTGGTTTCCATATTTCCCATCTCTTACAAAACTAGAGTTTTACTGTTTGTGATTTCAGAGAATGTGATGCCCTACAAACTGGAAACTACAGTCACCCTGTTAATCCACAGCAGAGAGGAAATTTGTAGGCAGATCTTGACTCTGGCATGAAAATGCCCACCTCAGGCTTTAACAACTAGTGGGAGAGAATCCCATGATGTTGTCCATGTGGCGTGAATAATAGAGAAAGGAAGGAATGGCACAGAGCAGGGGAGAGAAGGAGCCAGGTGGGGACAAGGGATGTATGTTACGGAAGGAGAGGTGGAGGGCGTGTAGGTGATGAGTCGTCTTAACTGGGATCCATGGATGCAACTCAGGGTATCCCTGAAACCCCAAAGCTGCCTGCACAATTTGTTGCTGTGTGCACTTTCGGAGGACATGACCTTTCGAAACACTAAGATCCCTTTGTCAAATCAAAGCTGCAGGGAGAACTAAAGCTCTGACAGTGGAATTCATCTTAAATCCCACTCAACACACAGTCATTCCCCAGGGCAAATGCTGTCCTACAAACAGAAGACGTCATCCCTATTAGAGCCCCACCAAGAAGGGCTGCGTAATTTGCTTTCATCTTCGGACAGACAGTAACTGGCTGCTAAGAATAGTACCCATACTTTGGTGAGTGAGTAATTAAGAGTTCACATAAGAGATACTATTTAGATTAGAATCTTGGCACAAATATCTAGCTCAGTTTGCTTTGCCAATACAACAGTTTTTTTAAAGCTGTTAAAAATCAATTTTATCATCATGGGCTCTTTTTTTTCTTTTAAGTGGATAAATTACATTTTTGGTGAATTTGCTTATGACTTTTGGGGCAGGCAAAAATCCACTCTTGGAACCAAAGAATTACCTGACATGGGAGCAAGATGTATAAACTGCACGAGGCTATTGAGATGCTGGGGATGGGTGGCTATGCTTTCTCGGGAGCTGGAGGGACATACACAGGTTCCTAAGTGTGCTCCATCTCTGCTGGGTGTCCACAGAGGACCTGGACCTGGGGCCCTCGTGGGCAAGGTGCCATCCTGCTGGTGAACTGTGATAAAGACAATCTCAAGTCTTCTGCCATGGACTGCTTGGATAACAAGGTGCTTGACAGAGAAGGTAAAGACCCCCAAGAGCTAAGGGGACTAGAGCTTCATCTTTTTGTGAAGCTCTTTGTCCTGAGCCTTGTAATTGCCCTCTGAAATCAGGGCTATTGGAGGCGTGTTCTTCTTAGCATGTCCACTGTATAGGAGAAGGTATGGATAAGGGTCCAGAAAGGGCAAGTGACCTGCCCAAGGCCACACAGCAGCCAGAGAAGAACCAGGACCAACAATGAGTCCCAACGCCTCCCCCAGTTTCCACGCCCCAGCCCGCTGCCCACCCCAACCTTCTGCTCGTGGGTCCAACCTGGGGCCTGAAATATTTCAAAATGAAAGCCTGGCCACTGGCCCAAACAAGTCAGAGTAGCCCTGAGCCCCTGCCGGATGCTGGGCGCCGCCCTGACCACTTCAGAATTATTAATTCATCCAATCCTTCAGTCCAAGTCTCAGAAGTATGTGCTGTCCTCACCTCCACTTTACGGATAAGGGAACTGAGGCATAGGGAAGTTGAGCGATTTGTTCTCGGTCACACGGCTGGTCAGCTGAAAGCTCAGGAAGGCACACGAGGATGGTGGTGGGAGAAGAGTGTCTGCTGGCACACTTCTGAGGTGTGGTCGGGGTGGAAGACACATCGCCCACCTGCCCTGGAGGAGGGCGCTAAGGGGGTGAGGTCGGCCAGCCAGGGCAGTGGCCATGGCCTTCTCGGGGAGCTGCTAGGACAGCATAGACACAAATGCGTTTTGAAGTTGCATGTGGTTGGCCTGGCCCGATGCCAGGAGACAGCCGCTACACAGTGCCCGGCACGCAGTAATGATGGTGCAGCCGGGACCCTCGTGGGCACTCCCAGGATGCCGGGCATGTACTAAGTGCTTCGTACAGCTGACCTCACCCTTCCCTCCACCTGGGCACTACTCTCAGCCCCCAAGTCCACCCAGATCCAGGGTGCAAGCCCCGCTGACTCCAGTGTCCTTAGCCCCGGGTCCATTTTCAACCCCGTGACTATTGTCCAGCTTGGCTCTCCCCAGGCCGTTGTTGGCCACTATTGTAGTTGGTTCACAAATTTCACCTCTTGCTCAGGCCCAGGAGAGAAACCTTTCCACTCCTTCATTCCACAAATAGTTGTCCAGCACCTGCCAAGCGCTAGTCATTTTTCTAGGTGCTTCTAAGTACTGGGGACAGGGCAGCAAACAAGAGAAACGAGGTCCCTGCTTTGCATCCTCATGTAAGATGAGCTTACATCCTCAGCTCATCTTAGTGGGAGAAGACCATAAACTCGATTAGATTTAATTCTGAAAAACATTATCTAAATACTGGCAAGAGCATTAAGAAAAAAACACCAGGCAACATGATAAAGGTGGTCTGTGGGCGAGGCGGGCGTTCTGTGGGCGGGGCGGGCGTTCTGTGGGCGGGGCAGGGTCTCAGAGGCCAGCCTCTCAGGCCACACCTTCCCATTCCAGACCTGCAAGACATGTCCCTGGTGACCCTGAGCACGAAGACCCCCAGGGATTTCTTCACTAATCACCAGCTGGTGCTCCACGTGGCCAAGTCTGAGATGGACAAAGTCAGAGTGTTTCAAGCCAGTTGTGAGTTGTCCTTGGCTGTCATTCCAGTGTTCCCTTCCTGCCCCCTCAATGGGCACAGCCCTTTCACATCCCCTTTGATGAATAATTCCTGAGCACCTACTATGTGCCAGGTTCTAGGAACCGAGAAATAGAACGGTGAGCAAGAAGGATAACATCTCTGCCCACCGCCTCCTAGAAAGGGCACACAGACAAAATACAAACAGACTAACAAGATGATGTCTGGAGCTGGTGAGCCCCAACAAGGAGATAACTCCCCTCCCGGAGACTATTGTAATCTGTAATCATTCTTCGTGTGTCTCTTTTCTCTCTGTCTCTGTGTCACACACACACGCACGCATGCGCACACACACACACACACGCACACACACATGCAGAGGACTCCTGTTTAAGGAGATTTTTTGCTCTAAGCTGACTGTAGGTGTTATGTTATCATTTGTTCTCCAATACCCTGCTATCAAAGCCACCAGTAAGTTCTCAGCAGCTCACGAGCACCTGCTACTAAGGGAGCGCCGGGCTCAGTTCCGGGCGCAGAGCAGAGAGCGAAGACCATAACGAAGTCCCTGCCTTCGTGTTGTTTCGTCTCAGTGGTCCGGGGAGACGATGTGTGAAATAACTAAATAAAACACTCAGTGCATCAGAAGGGCTATGAGGAAGAAAGCAGCAGGGAAGGGGACGTGGATGAGGGGTGGAGTCAGGCAGTGTGGGGAAGGGTGGTCAGAGACAATGTCCCCCATAAAATATCATTTGAGCAGAAGGGGGTGTGGGAACAGCCTCAAGACACCCATGGTTAGGGAGCCGCAGGTGCAAAGGCCCTGAGGCAGGATCGTGAGTTTGAGGGATGCGGGGAGGTCAGTGCAGCTGGAGTGCGGTGTGGAAGGGTTTAGGTGGTAGGTGAGGGTGGCGAAGAAAGGGCAGAGGGTCAGGGGCCAGATCTGGCAGGCGTGGAATGACTGGCTTAGCCTGAGGGAGATGGGGGAAGCCGTCTGAGGGTTTTGTGCACAGGCGCAACTTGATCTGACTTACAACAAACCAACTCCTTGCGGAGGCATCACCTCTTCCAGGAAGCCTTCCCTGGCCCTCTGAGTTTTCCTCCATCACGATACTTAATACCTTCTATAATTGTGACTGTCTTTGCTCCTCCCTACTTACTCAGGAGACTGTGTGCTCCCTGGAGGCCAGCATAGTGACTGTCTCCCTAGGTGTCCCCTGAGAGCAGGTGCTCAGGAATGAATGGATGGATGAATGAATGAACAAATGATGAATGAACCATAACATATATTGGACTTCCTATAACGTTGAGAGTGGCTTAGGCACCCCCATCACTCCGCTCCTGGATCCCCAGCAGAGTAGCGGGGGGATGATGTCCCAGTTGAGGTTTTAGTCCCTTTCTCTTAAGGGGATGCCTCGACCAGATTTAGCTGTGAGGGGCCCTCAGGGGTGACAAGCGGTGGCCCTGGGAAAGCATCACAGCACCTGGAAGAAGACAGGGTCTCTAAGGTCGAGATGCGGACCTGAGCCTCCCCTGCTCTCTCCCAGGGGGCCAACAGCTCTCTGAGTGCAAAGCGATTCTGGGGCCCCAGCGGCCCTCTCACCTCCTGGAGCTCCCAGGTGGCCAGCACAGCACAGACTTCTACGTGGAGGGCCTTGCTTTCCCGGACGCCAACTTCTCAGGCCTCATTTCCCTCACCGTCTCCCTGCTGGACATGTCCAACCCGGTAGGCCAAGACGGCGGCAGAGGGGAGACCTGGGCTTCCAGGCAGGGGCCCAGTGGGGTGGGGGGGTGGAGGGCAGCAGGGGTTGGGCCTGGCTGCGGTAACAACCTCTCCCCTGCCCCTCTCCCTGCAGGAGCTCCCCAACACCCTGGTATTCCAAGACAGCGTGACCTTCCGTGTGGCTCCCTGGATCATGACCCCCAACACTCAGCCTGCACAGGAGGTGTATGTGTGCAGGTGAGGGGCCCTGGAGTGCTGGGGGACAGAGCATAGACACATCAGGAAGAGCCCTGGACCAGGAGCAGGAGCCTGGGGTTCTGGCCGCGGGCCTACCATAGCACTTGCTATGTGAATAGGGAAAAAGTAATCCCTGCTGTGACTTGCTGAGCGCTTGTGGCTTGTTTGGAGCCATTAAAAGGCAGGGGAAATTACTGTTGCTGTTTTTCTTGTGGCTGTCCTGCCCCGATGCAGGCCGAAGGCTGCTTTAGCTCCTGGGGGCCTCTAGAATTTGTTATAACTGCAAAGTGAGAGCTCTCCGTCCATGAGCCAGGCCTCCAGAGTTTCTCAGAGTGTGGCCCTTGGAATTTCTGCACCAGAAACCCCTAGGAACTCATCCAAAATGCATGTTCCTGGCCAACCCCTGACAGCTGGGTCTTGTCTCTGGGGATGGGTCCACCCGCGTTTTAACAAGCTGCTCTGGGGAGTGTGGGCATCCATCCCGCAGTCTAAGAGCCCCTGTTAGGTATGCAGGAGTCTCAGGGGCCCTTCCTCTCTCCTCTGATTGCTTCTGGGATAGAGAGGTGAGAGTGTAACCTGGTGATCAGCCCACTGGCTGGAAGCCAGAGAGGTCTGGGTTCAAATCCCAATACTGTCCTTAGATGCCACGACCTTGAGCACTGACCTCCCCACTCTATCTTCTTGGTAGAAGGAGATACCTGCTAGTTCTGCTCATAGATTGTCACGAGGGTTCAGTAAGATAACGCTCGCAAAAGGCTCGCAAGAGAGACATAATGAGCCAGCCATCTCCATTCAGGCCACAAGCAACTCCTGAGCACCCACTGTGTGCCCCCCAACCAGGCCTGAGTTCCTGTTCCACCCCAGGAACCCTGCAGGGTCCAGCTTGCTCCCGGGCCAAAGCCACTGGCCACTGACTCCAGAACACTAAAGAGCTTCTTTTCTGCTCTTTCTAGGATATTTGAAAATGAGGACTTTGTGAAGTCATTGACTGCTCTGACCAAGAAGGCCAACTGCAAGCTGACCATCTGCTCCCTGGAGGAGAGCATGGATGACCAGTGGATGCAAGTACGAGGCCCTGTGGGATGAGTAGGCTGGAGCACTCAGGATGAATGGCCCTGAGGTCAAGGGCCGCTGGGGGACCCAGGCTCCAGGGGGCTTGGCCTGTCGCCTCGCCGGCCACCCTTCCTTGGAGGGGCAGGGAGTTAGAAGCCTCTGAGGGTCCTCGCATAAGAGGGCTCATGCAGGTGTTTCAACTGGCATTTACTGCAGGCCGCTGTGTGCCTACCATAGTCACCAGGATGAAAACCACCTTCCTGCTTAAAAACTCTCAGGTGACCTCTAGAAATGATTCAAAGCTCAGGGGGCTGGAGCTCACCTGATCCCTCCAGTGGCCCTTCCTCCAAGCTGGCCTTCTGGGCTCTGCCACCAGACCAGGCCACACCCCTCCTTTTCCATGGCTCCCATCTCCTCCTCCTCGGCCTGCCTCCAGGGCTCTCCCAACCTGGCCGCCCCCGTCCCCCGGGGCCAGCCTGCCTCCACCCCAGCCACACTGTATCACCGTCTGTTTCCATACAGGCTCCCCCATTGTGCCGTGAGCTTCCTGAGGGCAGAGCCTGGTCTCATTCAGCTCAGCACCCCAGTGCTTGGCACTGGGCAGTGCCAGTGGGCAGTTGGTGAATTGAGCCGAACCTCCTTGCTATACCCTTGCTTTGCTCAGGACTCTGCCTTCCGTGCCATTCACTCTGCCCATGCTGTTCCTTCCGACAGCCCTCCCCATTCCCATCCCCCACGTCCGAATCATGCATGTCCAGTCTGAGCTCGAAGGCACCCCCTTCGTAAATGTCCCCAATCCCTCCAGTGAGAATTCATTCCTTTTTCTTCTAAGCCTCCATATAACACCCTCTCTCCCTTTCTCATCATCCCCTCTGTGTTAATCAGGCTGAACCATATGAAACGGCTGATCTGCCACCATTTTTGACCTATAAGAATGGCAATTTCATATGGTCCAGCCTGATGTGATTTATGTTCATCATCACATCTGCCTGCAGGAATACAGGCAGGATTTGCACCTGATTCACTCCTCAGCTTTCCCTGACTCTGCCCTATAAGCTAGGCCGGGGCCTAACCTGCCCCCCTGCAGGGGAAGGCCACGCCTACGCCTGGCCTCCAGACCTCAGCTCAGCAGTGCTTTGTTCACAAATCTTCTCTGAGCTCCTAGTCCCAGCAGGAGCCACCCATCTTTGTCCAGCAGACCCCTCGCCCCCTTTTATCACCTCCTAACATGCTAGTTCCCCAGCTCTGGGGATCTCTCACTAGGAGGACAGGGCCTGAGGCTGGCTCACCATGGGTCCGCAGCACCCGGAGCCCTCGCCAGGAATGGGAGTGAAGGGCACGCCAGAGTTTCACAGCACTTTAATAAGCTCTGCTTTCTCTGAGCCCCTCCTCTGGGGTCCAACATCACACACAAATTCGCCCTTGGCCACAAGGGGCAGAGAACGTGGATGGTTCCATGCCACCAATCCCTGCGCTGGATGCCAAGACCCAGGCGGCGTGGGTACCAGCCTCCCCTCCTCTCGCTCTGCCCAGGATGAAATAGAGATTGGCTATATCCAAGCCCCGCACAAGACAATGCCCGTCGTCTTTGACTCTCCAAGGAACAGAGGCCTGAAGGAGTTTCCCGTCAAATCTCTGCTGGTAGGTGCCGGTGGGGGCACCAGTGGTTGACACCCCCTTACCTTGAGGCCTCCTTCCTCATTGCCTATCTCCCCGCACCCCCCTTCCCTCCGCCGAGTGGCCCAGCTCCCAACAGTGCAATGTCTGCTCAAGCAGTGATCACACAGGTGGGCCATTATTTCTGTTATTACCATGGTGAGATCTAGCTCTTTCTTTCCCAAAGCCCTTTCCAGCTGTGAGCTCACCTTGTCCTCAAGATAATCCTCCGAGGACATAGGTCGGGCTTGGGCGTCCTTGTTCCACTGAAGATACTCTTGCTGCAAGGTGAGGGTGGGGCCTAGACCGGAAACTTCTCCAACGTTCAGCTGGAGGCTCTGTACTTTCAGCGGAGTCTGGCCTGCAGGGTCGGGAGGCGGTGCTCCGTCTGGGACATGAGGAGGGAGAGGTCCAGGATCAGAGTGGTCATTTCCTGAACGTGACTTCATCAGCCGAAGATTCTACATGCGTTTGGGGGTTAGGGCGGGAGTGACGTATTGTTAAGTTCTGCTCGACTAGCCTGGCAGTTTCCTGCAAACTCAGCATAGATTATAATATTACTTTTACTGAGCATGCATTCTGTGTCAGTCACTGTGCTAAATTCTTACGTGCACTGGCTCACTTAATTTCTCCGACAAATTTAATGTATATACTATCACTAGGCCCATTTTAGAGATGAAGAAACTGAGGTTCAAAGAGGTGAAGCAGCTTTCTGAAGGTCATGCACAAAGAGAAGGGAGAAGTCGGGATGCGAACCAGGCCAGTCTGGCTCCATGCTTTCCTAGAGAGAGCACAGGTGACAGCCCCTTGACTCCAGGCACCTTTTAGTGTGGGGTGCAAAGGTTGCTGTGGCGAATGGCTTTCCAGGAAGAAGCCTGCACCTCATGGGGAGGGGAGGCGGCCCATGGGAGGCTTTGAAAAGAAATCTGAGTTTAACTCAGCAACCTGTCTTAGTCTTTCTTACTGTCCTGAGTGGAGTGGTGCCGGTGAAAAGAATTTGTCGGGTTCTCGGTGTCTCTCTGCCATGGAATCGGGTTAATCTCGTTTCAGGAGCAATGGGATAAAGTAGCCAGGTGCCACTGAAACTTTGGCCCTTTTACTGGTTTCGGTCCTACTTTGTTCGCTTCCTACTTTGATGTTCCAAGTGTGACAAAGGCTAGGTTCTTTGACGTCATAGCCAAACCTCTAGAGGCCTGCAGGACAGAGGAACAGATAGACACCTCGGTACAGGTATCCTCACCTTTCCCACAAACAGCCTTGAATGGAGTTGGGCTGTGATGGCCTCTCAGCCAAGTATGTCTGTGGCATTCTGACTCAAATCACTCAGGGACGGAATTGGAATAAAAGTGACACTCAGCACAGGCAACGCCCCACCCATTCTCCAATGTCATTGTGGGCCACTTTCTCTGTCCCTCACCTGGCTCCAGCCCCACTGGCTTCTTGCTGTTCTTCAAATGCACCCAGCTTGCACTCACCTCCAGTGGCCTCTGCCTGCGATGCTCTTCCCAGTTCACGTGTCTGGCTTCTTCTCAATCTTCCGATTTGAGCTTCAGTGCTATCCTCCAAGAGGCCAATCTGACATGGAAGGACACCCCACCCCAGCCCCTGGCATTCTCGGCTACAGCACCCTGTTGGCTTCTTCTCAAGTGCTTTGCTATAAATCACTGACTACTCATTCACTTTTCATTGTCTGCCTCCCTGCAGAATGTAAGCACCGGAAAGGCAGAGCCTAAGGCCACGGAGCCCGTTCTTGTACCCCAGGTACTTAGCACACAGCGTGACACACACATACTTGGCCCGTAAGGCAGTGTCAGTAAATTAAACGCCACTGCCGTAAATGGAAAACCAGGAGCACTTACCGTAAATAGGAGGCGACCATGACGTTAAACAGAATGAACGCAAAAGAATGCCAGCTTGATACCAGTGACAGCAAAACCCTGAGCCACAGTTTCGCTCTCTGTTGTTAAATGGGACGTTAGCAGGTGTTAAGGGATGATTCGTGCCACTCTGGGACTTTAATCTTTGACAAACCAGAGAGTGGAGGACACCTGAAATGGCAACACCTTTCCGAGTCTGTGCCAGAAGCTGTAGCAAGTGGCACCGGTGAGCCTCCCCTGCATGTACCACTCTTGGGGGACGACTTCTGCAGACAGTGGACACCCCTTTGTTTGCCTGCAGAAATCCGAGCCTGCAGCCTATGGAACTACTCCTCTCTCATGCTGACAGCCACGATAGTGACTTGGATAAAGCTGTCATTCATTCATCCTACATCCTTTGAGCATGTACTCTGCCTGGCCCTGTTCTAGGCACTTGGAATACATCAGTGTGCGAAGCCGAGGCCCCCCCCCCCACTCCTCATGGAGGTGACATTCTAGGCGGGAGCATGCTTCAGGGAATAGCAAGGAGGCCAGGAGGGGTAGGACAAAGCGAGCAAGCAGAAGAGGCAGTCAGAGAGCAGGTGGGAATGGGGTGTGGAGGGAGGACAGGTCCCATGGACTTGTTGGCCATTTTAAGGCCATTTGTTTAGAATCGGAGAAACTGCGGAATTATTGCAGGGTCTTAAAAAGAGGGAGATTATGACTTGGTTGATGTATCAAAGGGAACCTCAGCTGCACGTCAAGAACAGATGGCAAGGACCAAGGGCAGGAGCAGGGAGAGTGGGAAGGAGGCCGATACAGTAACCAGCTGAAGGGGGCGCAGACCCGGGGAGCAGGGGAGGGGGTGAGCAGTGACCAGATTCCAGATATGTTTTGAGGTCAGAGCCCACAGCATTTCCTGACTGATGATGTGAAGGAGAGGGGGCAAAGGTGACATCGGGCTTTGACCTTTGTGACAGGCAGGCGGAAGAGGGGTCAGCAGTTCCGTTCGGGGCAAGTGGGAGATATTTAGTCAACATCCATGCGGGGAATCGGGCAAGCAGTGGACCCGTGCCTGGAGTCTGGGAGAGAAAAGCAGGCTGGAAATATAAACGTGAGGTTGTCAGCACGTGGGCGGCATTTCACGAGACTGGGCGAGAGCAGGTGCAGAAAGTGAGCGGAGGGAGTGGGGGTGACCCGCTGACTCAGATGCTGCTGGTGGGCAAGGAAGGTGAGGCCTGGGCATTGCCCGCTGGGTTTAGCTGTGTGATCACGAAGACCTCGATGAGAGCAAGTTTGATGGCAGAGTGAGGGCGGAAGTCAGGTTGGGATAGGTTTTCAGCAGAAAGGGAGGACGGGACTGGGAAAGAATGCATTTTAAATTAGTGGAATCACTGACCTTGAGACTACTCACCTCCTCGGCAAAATGCACCCAAGCTCACAATCTGGAATCTGCTTCCAGGGCGTCCGTGGCCCCCACGAAGCCCCAGGATGCAGACCATCGATTTGTAGAAAGCTAGAGCTAGCATGGTAGACTGAATGATGGCCCCTCAAATACGTCCACATCCTAATCCCCAGAACCTGATGCTGCAGGGGCTTTGCAGGTGTGACTGAATTAGAGGTCTTGAGGGGAGGCGATTATCTTGGATTATCTGGGGGGCGGGAGCTCTATGTAATCATAACACTCCTCATAAGAGGGAGGGATGGAGGTCAGGGTGACAGAAAACATGTGACGATGGAAACAGACATTGGAGTGATGCCCTTTGGAGATGAAGGAGGAGGCCACCAGCTGAGGTGGCCATAAGAAGCTGAAAAGGCCAGGAAATAGATTCTCTCCAGAAAGAACCAACCTGACCACACTTTGATCTTGGCCCAAAGGAACTGACCTCAGACTTCTGACCCTCCGAACTGTGGGAGAATTAATGTGTGTTGTTTTAAGCCACCAGATTTGTTACGGCAGCAGCAGGAAACTAATACAGGGGCTGAGAGGTGTGTCACCCACCTGGCCTTCTCACCGAGATCCCTGTGGAGAGGTCATAGCCATTCCAGAAGCTCGTTCTAGGCCCCCACTCAGGATGTGGACCAAGAAAGCTTGCTGTAGAGACAGCTCAAATCCTGGTCCTTCCACAAATTGGCTATGGGACCTGAAGAAGCCACACACCACTCTGAGCTTAGTAAATTCTCTGCAAAATGAAGATAAAAGGGATGTTTTACAGATTCATTATTATCGCCCAAGTTAAGGTTTATGAAGCAGCTGGAATGTATTAGAGACTCAAAAAATGCTGTCCCCTTTCTTGCCACTCGATTTGGCATTCCTTCACCATTCCACAAGTGATAATGGTACCTGCTGTGTGCCAGCCGCTGACAGGCACTGAATTCCTCCCTGTGACAGAATTACTCTTTAACCTTGGACCCCACCCTCTCTTCGCCAGGCAGGAAGTTCTCTCTCAGCATTCAGCATGTGCTTCTTCCTTCTCAGGGTCCAGAGTTTGGCTATGTGACTCGAGGGCCCCAAACAGGGGGTGTCACCGACCTTGACTCCTTTGGGAATCTGGAAGTGAGCCCCCCCGTCAAAGTTGGGAAGAAGAAGTACCCACTGGGCAGGATTCTCATTGGGAACAGCAGTTACCCCAGGTGAGGAGGGGAGGGGCGGAGAGGGGCGGCCAGGACCCAGGGAGGCTATGGAATAGCAGCAGAAGCCTTCCCTGCATAGTCCCAACCCAAGAGGGCTCCGCAAACTTTAGGGCACATGAGAGGAATCAATGCACAGGCCTAGGAATACAAGGCTTAGGATCTCAATAGACCCAAGTTCAACTTCCAGCTCTGCCACTTATATTCTTTTGGTCGTGAATATTTACTGAGCACCTGCTATGTGCCAGGCACTATGCTAGGAGCTGGGAAGGAATGCAGCCATAAACATGACAGACAAGTCCCTGCCGCTATTCCAGTGGGGGAGAAACATAATAGAAAAGTAAATAAATAAGATCATTTTGAATAGTAAAAAAGACAAAACAAGAGCATGGCAGAGAAGGAATGGGACCCGGGTTGGTCGGGGTGACTGAGGAAGGCATCTCTAGGGAGGGGGCTTTCGAGTTGAGGCCTGATGACGAGAAGGACGTGGCTGCGTGGAGATCTGAGGTAGAGGGCTCCTGGCAGATGAAGGAGCACGTGCAAAGGCCCTGAGGCAAGAATGAGCTTAGCATGTTCGAGAAGGTCAGAGCGGCTAAAACAGCTGGAGCAAGAGGAAGAGCAAAGAGCTCCATTGCAGAGGACCTTGGAGAACACTGAAGCTCAGAGGGCGATGGAATGTCCCCAGGGCCACACAGCTAACAAGAGATCACCAACCCAGCGTCTAGGCTGAGTCAACGGGCAGTGATTTCTGAGGCTAAGCTCTGATCCTATTTACCTCACTGACTCCATGCCTCAGTTTCTCCAATAAAAATGGGCTGAAAAATTCTTCGATTCCTCAGATATCAGGAGATATCATAAAGGCATCCCAGGCTCCGGATTCCCTTTCCTGGAGGAGCACCCTGACCCCTCGGCCAAGCCTCCAGTCCTGTTAGAGACCTCCGTGTCGCCCCCTCGCCCCCTCCCATAACACCCTTTTAATTCTGTGTGGGCAGGACTGACAGCCAGGAGATGCACCAGGCACTGCAGGACTTCCTCGCCGCCCAGCAGGTGCAGGCCCCTGTGAAACTCTACTCCGACTGGTTGTTTGTGGGCCACGTGGACGAGTTCCTGAGCTTCGTTCCAGCACACAAGGTACAGTGCTGGGGCTGTCCCTGGGTTCCCCAGCCCAGCTCTGTGCTTCGTACTCTGCCTAGGAGGACTGAGCTGGCATGCCTGACTCTATTTTTCCCTGCCTGGCAGGAGGGGGCATGGAGGAGGTGCCAGCCTGGGTCCAAGCCCCTGCACCCTCCTCCACCAAGCCCTCCTCCTTGGGAGCCTGGGCAAAACTGACCTCTGACCCCAGTGATTCTGCCTCCAGGGCTTCCGGCTGCTTCTGGCCAGCCCCAGGTCCTGCTTCAAACTGTTCCAGGAGCAGCTGAATGAGGGACACGGAGAGGCTCTGCTGTTCGAAGGGGTCAAGAGTAAGTTAGTCATGCCTTGTTCTTCCATCCGGGCACCTTCCTCTGCCTTCATGTGGCTTCCCAGTGTCAGACAGAATCATTCAGCAATAGATATCTTTTGAGCACCTACTGTGAGCCCGGGGATGCTGTATGAACAGAGCTCCCTGTCCTGAGGGCTCACAGTCCAGAGCAACCGAGCCAAGAAAACAACTACAGCACAGGAGCTTTGGGAAAGTGTCTGGGAGGAGTTCAAGGAAGGCTTCTTGGAGGAGGCAAAGACCAAGCAGGAGCATGAGGATGAGCAGGAGCTGGTCAGGCAAATGGGGCGGTGGGACGAAAGAAAGATATTCCAGACCGTGAACGCAAATGCTCAGAGGCGGGAGGAAGGAAGATGTGTTCGAGGACCTGAAAAAAAAAGTTCAATCTGGCTGAAACGCAGAATAAAATATTAACTTTTTTCAGTGAAGTCCACAGACAGGGGCCAGAGTCAGAGGTGGAGAAGCCTCCGTGGCTGAGAGTTTTCACCTAATAATATCTGTGGTGACATCAGGCCTCTGTTTGCTCCTCAGTAAATGGAGACAAGAGACTTCAAAAGTGAGAGAAACACTTTTAATAAGAACTTACCCTGATCAAATACTTTATTAAAGGCGTTTGCCTCTCAGATGCTCACAACAAACCTGTGTTAGTTAGGAATTAAGGCTGCCCCCATTTCGTAGATGGAAAACTGGGTCTCCGCCGTATCCGCTGGCAAGGGGGAAACGGACCTCTGAATTCATCTGCATTTTGTTCTTTTTCTTCATGACAGAAAAAAAGCAGCAGAAAATAAAGGACATTCTGTCAAACAAGAAATTGAGAGACCATAACTCCTATGTGGAGGTACCAGCCTGGGTACCCAGGAGATGCCACAGCCCGGCAGAGCTGACACCCCCACCCCCAAAACCCCCTCCCCTGAGATTAGAGGCACAAGGCAGGGCCTTCCGTGGGCTGTGCTGGCTCCGTGGTGAATGGTCTTGGGAATTGGGTAACTGTGTGTGTGGAGAGCTCACCACCCCTATAGAAACACACACCCCGCCCCTGGCCTTCCCCCTGGAGCCCTGTCTGTGCTGACCCCTGCCATACCCACCGCCCTCCCTCTCACCCAGAGCTGCATCGATTGGAACCGGGAGGTGCTGAAGCGGGAGCTGGGCCTGACCGAGCAGGACATCGTGGACATCCCCCAGCTCTTCAAGCTCCATTCAGACTCCACAGGGACCCTCAAGGCGGAAGCCTTTTTCCCAAACATGGTGAGGAAGTGGCCTTCGGAGGTGGCCCACCTTGTTTCCAGTGGCCTCTGGCATCAGAGAGGCCAGCTGGGCTCTGGGTGCAGGTCCAGGATGCTTGGTTGTCTCCTCATTTGCATGGCCCCATCCGGGTTCCAGAGCCCCTGTGGGCATCTCACAGGCACTGCCTGGGAACCCCAGAGTCCCAGGGAACCCAGTTTGAAGGCCACCGTGCTCCCCCCTGAACTCCAGCAGGAGTGGGTGCCTGAGGGGCCCCAGTAGAAACGGGTGAAGTTGCTTCTTGACTTATGGGTATTCTCTGAAGAGATAGAGTAACAGGGCAGAGAAGTAAAAACATAGTAGATGACATAAGATGATGCTTGGGGTCACAGTTAAAAGTTCTCGGCAAAGCTGGGATCCCCTTCAAGTCCACCCTTTAAACAAGGGAATCCTGCCCAGCACCCACTGCCTGCCTCACCCCCTCAAAGAGGCCTTCCTGGACCACCCAGTCTGAGAAGGTGCCCTACTGTCAGGCCCTTCATGGAGCATGACTCGACCTGAGAGTGTCTTATTTGGTGCTTGTCTGCCCAGCTCCACTCCCACCTCACCTCACAGAGAAGCCCATTCGGGGCAGTGCAGCCTGGTGGTTAGAGCCTGGGCTCTGCAGCTGGACCCCTGGCTCTGAGCCCAGCTCTGAATCCCACCTCTTGCCGCTGTTGTGTTCTTGTGCCAGAGACCTTCCCTTTCTGTGCCTCATCTGTTAAGTGGGGGTGGCAATATTGTCTGACCCTCCTCTCACCCCCTGAATAAAACTCCTTGGCCCCAAGCATCCATTTCCTCGTCCATTTAGCCCAGCCGGGTTTCCCAGCTCAGGAGAAAAAGCTGATGCCGATGGCTGGGAGGTGAGGCATCTCGAACAAAGTAATCAGCATCGCTGAGGGCTGACTCTGCCTTCCCTGTTTGACTGATCGCCATAGGAGGCAGCCTGAACTTGAGCCATGACGATCTCTGGAGCCCGAAGTGGGAGGTGGGGGTGTGGGCATGGGCATGGAATAGGCAGAGAACAGACCACTCAGGGTGGGCTGCATCTATGCAAGGTACTTGTCTAAGGTCGCCCAGCTATTGAGTGGTAGACTTGATTGTGAAACCCACAGTGGCCTGGAGCCGAAATCCTGGTCCTTCCATCTCACCAGGCCACCTCCCAATATAATGGAGGAAATAGTCGTCTGCATAAGTCATAATATACAGAAAGTGCTACAAAAGTGGTCACTCATTCATCCATTCAACAGATGTTTATTAAGTGCCTACTATGTGTCAGGCACCGTGCTAGGAGCTATGGGAACATAGAGGAGGAATGACTGATTGCCACAGGTGGCTTCACACAGGGTGAGGACATTTGAGCTGGGCCCAATTAACAGAGTTTTCAAGAAGGTGGTGGGTGGGGAAGGAGCATGGACCCCAGAGTCTGACAGACTTGGGTGTAAATCCTAGACTCGCTGGGTGGCCTTAGGTAGCCCACTTTACCTGTGTGGGCCTCAGTTGCCTCATCTGTGCAGTAGGCTTTATTTCTGCAGGGCATGAGACAGAGGAGACACGCGGATAGCGATGCAGGCTGCACGCCGCCGCCCCTGACCTGGAGTCTCACCTCTGCAGGTGAACATGCTGGTGCTGGGGAAGTACCTGGGCATCCCCAAGCCCTTCGGGCCCATCGTCAACGGCCGCTGCTGCCTGGAGGAGAAGGTGCGGTCACTGCTGGAGCCGCTGGGCCTGCACTGCACCTTCATCGACGACTTCTACAGCTACCACCTTCGACACGGGGAGGTGCACTGTGGCACCAACGTGCGCCGCCAGCCCTTCCCCTTCAAGTGGTGGCACATGGTGCCCTGAGCCCATCCCTCCCTCCAGTGTCCTCTGCCTTGGGAAGCTCCTGGCCAGAGGCGCTGATCCCCTGCAGTGTAGCATAGCAAGAGTTCCTGGGGAAATTTTGGCTCCCCAGAGAGTGACCACTCTGGACAGCGGCTTGCTTCCTTCGCCTGTGTTCCCTCCGAAGATGCTACCATGGTCCTGGCTTTGCAGACTCAGTCGTGCTGTGAGAAGCTGCAATAAAGTTTTACGATCCCTTTGTACGGGAGGTGAAGCTGTCGCTCGTATTATTCATTCATGTATCCACTCGCTCATTGCCATGAATGTTATCCACTTGTAAGTGCCACCAGGATATGCTGAAGGCCAGTGTTCCTGTGTGTGCCTAAGAATTGTATCCCCGTTCATGTTGTCCTTTGAGAAAAAGGCAGCAGAGGGGTGATGCGAGAGCCTGTGGGGGACATAAGGATTTGACTGTTAGGTCAACATGCCCAGACATCAGTGAGCCCCCCTTGCCCCGCCCATCTGTCATCTCCAGTCCACCAGCTTGAAAGCCCTATAAAGTGGGCTCTCGTCCCTCTTATTTGCGGCTTGCCGTAGGCTACCTGTGGGGATGTGGTGCGTAACAGAAGCCACGGGGTTTTGTGGAATAAAGTCATTAGTCACCTCTGTGTCCTTTTTATATATTTTATGGTCCTGACAGAGGGACTTAGATTCCGCTATAAAAATTAAATGAGATGACTCAAGATCTTTAAAATCGAGGCCAGATTTTGCTTCCATAGGGTCTGAAATGCTCAGGAAACCCATGGCGACACCGTTTTCACAGTGGAGAGCTAGGAGTGAGGAAAAGATGGATGTGCGAAGCCTCTGCCTTTGCACTAAGGACAAAGGGCCTCATAAACCTGATGAAAAAGCACTTCTCTGGAGCAAAAGATGTGCAGTATTTCTTGTGGACCAGAAAGGGCGCCTTGAACAAGAGGAAGTTGGCATGAGGTCGTCCCAAAACCTGACCGATAGGGCTGCCTGGAGCAGCAACTGGCCTCAGACAGAAGCCAAATTTCCTTAGCTTCCTGGAGCTGCAGAAAGATTGACAGACAAGCTGGAGGCTAAAGCAGATCTTACATGGAGGTAAAAGCAAGTGAGCACCCCCAGCCATTCATGGGGGGTGGGGGGCATCTGTGAAGGAAGCAAGTGAGCCCCCCCAGCCATTCATGGGGGGTGGGGGCATCTGTGAAGGAACCAGGGAAGCCCCCATGGAGAAAGCACCAACTGTTAAGTCGTCCCAGCCCCACAGAGCCTGGGGCCACCTTGTGCCCTCAGAGCAAGAACTTCCTGCTCCCTCCCTCTCTTCCCTAACTCCCCACCCACCTCCCTCCCCCAGCTGTCACAGGTTAGTTTCTGAGGCCACTGTAACAAATTTCCATAAACTAAGTGGCTAAAAACAACAGAAATGTATCCTCTCGCAGTTCTGGAGGCCAGGAGTCTGCCGGAACTGGGCTGAAATCGAGGTGTCAGCAGGGTGATGTCTTTTCGGGGGGCTCCAGGGGAGAATCTGTTCCTGGCGTCTTCCATCTTCCGGTGGCTGCGGGTTTGCCTTGGCTGGTGGCCATATCGCTCCCATTGCTGCCCGCGTGGGCACATTGCTTCCTCCTCTGTGTGTGTCAAATCTCTGTCTCTTGCTAGGATACTTGTGGTTGCATATAGGGCCCACCCAGATAATCCAGGATAATCTCCCCATCTCGAAGACCCAGTCACACCTGTAAATTTGGTCATAGCTGCAAAGGCTCTTTCTAAATGAGATAACACAGATGGCAGATATTAGGACCTGATATCTTTGGGGGGTCATTACGCAACCCACTACAGGTCAGGGACCACCATTTGCCAGCTGCAGCAGGCAGAAGAGAGAGAAAGGAGTTGAGTGTCCCCTCTCCGAAGCTCTAAGCTTTTTGCCTCCATGCAACCCTAACGAAAAACTTAACTTTGTAAAACCAAGTTTTATAAACTTAACTTTATAAAACCGAGTTTGGAGGATTTCTTTGGTGTGGGGTTCAATTTTCGAACTTCTGAATTGGTGACTGGTTTCTGCCTGGTTTCTAGCAA